CACGGGTGTTGTTTACCAAACTGAGAGGACGGAAAGCGAATATTGAGCACTTCGACCGGGTTGGTTGACACGGAGAGTCCACATAGGGAGTTGGAAAACCCTCATTACAAACCAATGTGCACATGGGCTTTAGGATCCTAAGGGAACAAATGACGTATGAAACAATTATTGGTCACCGACTACCATGGAACTGCATCTCCTTATGATGCTCCACTACCTTATGGATCAGACCTTTATGTCGACGGCTCCGGGTGTGGCCCCCTAAGAAAACCACTTACTTCGGTTTGAGCAGCCGGTCAGTGTCCTATCCCTCACACAAATCGAATGATTTATGTGGCTCATATCTATTTGTAGCTACAAATCTTCTCCACCAACTCAAAGAGAATTTTTCTGTATTGTTGATCACGTTCAAAATCACTTTGGTGGTGCTCGTCATAATTATAAGAAAACATAAGCCAACAAATCATTCTTTCGTTCTACATTATTCTTAAAGCATTAGTAACCAATATCTTCAGTGATATGTCAGGAATGGGGATGAAAAACTTATAAAGCTTTTTTCTTTTGAGGTATGAGGATCCAACATTATTTCGTGCGGGGGGGGAAAGGAGGATAAAGCCGAAAAATTTAAAGTCTCGATAGAAACTCCGAATCTTCAAAAAATAGGGGAAGTGTTATATCCCGGAGAGAATCATGAATGATAACTGTTGGGATCCATTTATGGACAAATACTATACGTACATTTTTAATGTATAACTATTCAGTAGCTAGATTATGTATATCTATACTCCTCCTATTACACGCTTTACGTTGACCTAGAAACTATTACTATACGATTTACCGTTCTTGAATTATGCCCAATCTATCAATTACAGTCTCCCATATTCACAGCCACAGTTGGCTAAATCTTGTACAAATGTTATTTTCTAATTTATGGTGCGATGTAGTCTGTGTGGCTGGTATATAAACCCAGTATACTTGAAATAAATGATTCATATTGCAAAGGCTGAGATTGGTGTTCTGAACTCAACGACCAAGGCTATGCAGAAAGGAGAACTGATAAGGACTCTAGATTGCTCGTACTTGTTTTATACGTCATCGGTCCAGTCAATAATTCCCTGTTCTCTAATTGGTGATATCATTACGTTATATATATTAATAGGGGCACAAGGACACAAGTTATAACAATGCCATATTTAATAGTTTCAACTCATTTCAGTTGTTCAATGTTCTGTTTCATTTAATTGTTCCTTCAGATAAACACTATTCTAGGAATTATCTTTGAACGTTGATAATGAATAAGACTTTATTTTTATAATCCAAACTACCGTTGATAATTTATCGCGTTTTTTCAGTAGTATAATAACAATATTTTTTCAAAGTACATTTATTCATTTAGACACATAAACATTAGTACAAGGAGGCACCAAATAGATATGCGTCATATAAATCATTCGATTTGTGTAATTGTTAAGATATTGCTCGGGTGCTAAAACCAAATCAGGTGATCTTCTGAATTTCGTAAAATTCCCGCCCCCCGCCCTTGCCGCGAGAAGGCAGTGAATAGGACTTCCCTGGCGCAATAATTGTATGCACGTGGCCATGTGAGAACATTTCGAAATGGAGAGCTAACTTTCCCCACTATCAGCCGTACTAGGGTATTTGTCTCCTTTAATGTTAAATATGTTTATTTGAAGACGTAAAAATAAGTCAACCCGCGGGGGGGCGGGTTCGTGGATGCGCACTGCTGAGGAGTCCCATACTAGGACGAAACGGCCGTCCAGTGCTTCCAGGTTTTCCATGGTGGTCTAGCTTCAATTGACTCATGACTTTAACCTGTGAAATTTCCTAAAATCTCCACAAAACTCATTCTGGTAAAAAGTGTTTAGTAGCCTGATATCTGACTCCAATTAGATTGTATGTATGATTGTTATGGAAGTATGCATGTCACCAATCGTCGTATATAATTATCGACTGAATTCACATTAGTGAATAACGGAATTAAATAAACCCAATACAAGAATAAAGTTTCAATGTGAACAGACAATCAGGGAAACGGAGCGAAGGAGGCAAAGAGAATAGAATAAAGAGAGATGACGAGCAGTAGACAAGGCGTTTGAGCCAATTTCATTTAATCAATACTTATAGTCACATAAAAATAAGCTACAAGCATGTGATGAGTAGGATACAAAGGGTACACACATATACGCTCATATAAAAACAGTCAGGGTTGATAAGTGAATAATTAACAAGGTCAAAATGTGACTTGAGAAGAATGGATAAATTGGGCTGTTTAGAATAAATAGATATATGGGTTTAACATAGTAACCGACGCTACAAGTGTATTTTAAAGTCATAGAAATTCTTGACCAACGTATACCATAGCATTGTGTTCATGTCATAAGGACAATAAAAAGTTTAATTACAAATGTTGCCTCTTATAGATAGATAGTCAATTAAGGGACAAATTAATTCTCTATTAATCTTAACACTTAACACAAACATTGGTACAAAGAGGCAACAAATAGATATGCACCATATAAATCATTCGATTTGTGTGAGGGCTGGGATACTGACCGGGTACCTAAACCGGAGCAAGTGGTTTTCTTATGGGGTCACGCTAGGAGCCTTTCACCTAAAGGTCTGATTCACAAGGCAGTGGAACAACGTCAGGGGATGCAGTTCCATGGTAGACAGTGACCAATAATTGGTTCATACGTCATTTGTTCCTTCAGGATACTGGAGCCTATGTGCACATTGGTTTGGAATGAGGGTTTTCCAACTCCCCTATGTTGACTCTCCGTGTTCACCAACCCGGTCGAATTGCTGGACATTCACTTTCCGTCCTTTCAATTTCGTAAACAACAGTAATGTCGCGAGAAGGCAGTGAGTAGGAATTCCCTGGCAATGGTTGTATGCACGTGGCCACTTGAAAGCATTTGGAGAGGGAGAGTTAACTCTCCCCACTCTCGGTCGTACAAGGGTATTTGTGGGCTTAACTGATAAAAAACAACTCGAATGCTTTTATCAAGATCAATTCAAAAAGGATAGTAATACAAATGATAGTACTGAGTATTTAGAACAAAGTAATGTATAGTTAAACACAGAACAAATGTGAGACAACCAGATTGAATTACAATCTCCTACACAAAAACAAAATTGATATATTTGAGCAAGTTCCAAAAACCATTCGATTAAGTGAAAGTAGTCCTTGAAATAATCTAATCTCTAGACACCTCTTAGACATAAGTCAATACCCATAAATGTATTGAGGTAATTAGGATACAGTGAAACCTCACTTTACTGGGACTTCAGAGACTTGATTTAGGTTTAAAAGGTGACATTAGTTAATCTGTGTTGATAACATAAACATTTCTTCGTTACATCATAGGAGTACATTCACTTGCTCTTTAATTGTATCTTCCGATTGTTATTTAGGACTGAAATGGATTAGTCTCTTATTGGTATATGTGCGGACTGCCTCCATATTGCCTGAAGTTACAAACATTGTAATCAAAGATAGATAGTTGCTATCAGTGGAATCCAGTTTGACGCGCGTTTCGTCCTATTTGAGACTCGTCAGCCGGATGTACCTATACCCCACATTTCATATTCACTCTGGGACTCGAACCCAGTGCTGTTCGCTTCAAACGCCATCGTGTTATCCACTTAGCTACTGAGTCCCGATAACCACTTGCTTGTGCAATGGGACGAAATTTTTAAATTCATTTGGTGTTGTTTTACTTGTATCTTCTCATTCTTGTTTTAGGACTACAAGTAATCATAGGATTATGTTTAACTCTCTTTCAGTCGATTAGAGTATTGCAGTTTTTGACTCTTCTAGATTGATAATTTTATTTTAATTAACGGACCCTTAATCACTTCATTTTTAATAATTGTCATTGAGTAACCGACTTGTTTCTAAGTATTTGATCTTTTATTACTATAAATATTGTAGAATGTTCTCTTACATAAGACATATATTTGTATGTTATTTAGTCTATTAAATTTATTGACATCCTTACTATACTATACTACTGATGTGTCTATAATTAGTAGCTTCTAACTACACTCTTTCATGTAACTAATTTCAATTCATGGTGTGTTTATCATTTTTTTAAATATTACATTGTTGTAAGTAGTTGATGAGAAGCGAATGAAACAACATGAATTCATGTTATTTCGCTCGAATCTTTATTCTTGTTTTATTCATAATATGTTTCAGTGTGAAACTTCACTGCTGCTGCTGCCGCCGTCGAACTCTCTCTCTCTCTCTTTTACCTTTAATCAAAACTTTAGGCTTGTGGAACAATCGAATTTGATTAAACTAATTGTTACTTACAGTCCATCAGCTACAACGTAGGACTAGATACATATATGCATCGGTCCAAGTTGCCATACCTCATTAGCACAACAACATGAACACCAAATTCATACAAGTAGTTAATTCAATGGTGGTAATATATAAAAGAAAGATTGCGTATAAAAATATAGTACAGGAAGAAAGAAATAGTTCGTAGAAAGAAAGATATGAAGTGATTTTAATCTCATACTTTAAGGGAAGACAAAGAGTGTATACACCGACGCCATTGTGACCGATTCTGAGCCATGTCACCAAGAGTCTCCAACCATTGGTTACGATAGTCACGCGGATCCCAATCAAGTAGTCTTCATCTACCAACATGGCTCAGACTAGAAGTTAGTGACTTCAAGCAGTGATACCACGTCTTGGTTTGGCCGCTCCTAACTTTAAGGTCGACCTTTTCTAACCCCAATCCTCCTTGCGGGAAGGCAGTATCGCTGTTATGCTGGTTGTCTGAAGGAAACACTTTACTGCCGTCACACCTCTGTACAGTTAGCGGTAATACATCACCTCCAGACCTTGAGTTTGCTGCTTTTAGTCTTACCGCTCTTTAATCGACCTGTCTGGCATGGTAGGACCTTGAGGAACGATTGTTCTAGCCAGTATAGCTCAATTGCTTCATCATGATAGGCAAGTCCGACCACCAGGTTAAGGTAGCAACAACAAGTAAATAAGCCTAAATTTGATGACATATCTAGTTAAAACCTTACATCAGATGAACACGAGTAATTTGTTAATGGTCAAAAGTTTATACACTATAATCTAATGCAAACTCTGTTAAAAGAAATAAAAATGAATAATAACAATCATGTTTGTACACTTTCTGAACCAACTAAACAAACTTGAATCGGAAACAGATCAATGGTATATATAGGCCTCTACACCCTTCTAGAAAAATCTAAGACATAGAAACAGATAAAACAGACGAAAGTTGAGAATCAAGCTGAAATGCCAGTCTATTTTATTTTACAGGCAACAACAACAACAACAATAACAACAACAAATACATGATAATTGATTTCACTTAGTAAATTATGATAAACAATCAATAATCACAGTAAACAAAGTAACAAAATAAATAAATCAATAAAGTTACTCCATAGGCGGGGGGGAGGCAGGAGGAAGAAAGCAACTTTATCATGTGGATTAAACGACAATAATTAGTGTGACAGCATTGGTAAAACAAGAATGAAGCAAAAAAAACAAATGATGACTTTTCTCTTATAAACAAAAAGTAATCTACATTGTTGATAGGAGTATTTTATTTTTCAGGTCATTTGATAGGAAATATAGAATAACATTAAAAACAAATCAATATGGGATCCAAAAAAAAAGAAAGATTTCATTATAATCAATTATGTAAATCAAAACGTTTACGCATACCATTGATCATATCATCGGTTAATTCAACATCAGTCATAAGAGCAGCCATATCTTTTAATGAATCTTCATAACTATCACGTCGTTGATTGTGTTGATCTTTAGTATTGGTTATAGTTTTAGATGTTGTGTCTATAGAAATAAGAAGAGTAATTAGTGAGGAGGGGGTGAAAGTGATAATTGAAGGTAACAATGTTGTATGATAGATCATAACATGTTTCCATAATTCTTTTTTATGAAATAAACAAAGAATAAGTTATCTATGAATATGATCAGAATGCCTATTAGCGAATTATTAAAACATGAGGAATAGAAATAAATTCCTAGACAGATTTGAATTAAAAGTAGAGATGGATGGTGGCTAGCAGTGGGATTCAGGACTCGTGTTCCGTTTTATCTGAGACTCTTCAGATGCATATACCCGCATCCTAGAGTTGATGTTCAATCCAGAATTTGAACGCAGTAACGTTTGTTTCAAACATGTTATCCATTTAGCCATTGAGTTCAGATACTAATAGCTTGTGCAACGGAGTGAAGTTTAAACTCACTTTGTATTGTTTGTTTGAATCTTCCCATTGACTTATATGGTCAATAGCGATTACCTCCTTATTTACACCTGTTACCCGTCGTGAAGGAGCAAAGGATACCCACTAGCATTCTCCATCCAACTCTGTTCTGGACAAACCTTTTCAGTTGTTCCCAGTTGCTATTCATCCTTTTCATGTCTGCTTTCAATTCTCAGCGCAGTGTGTACTTTGGACTTCCTCTTTTCCGTTTCCCTTCAGGATATCAAGTTAGCACTTACTTTGTGATGCAGCCACCTTATAATTTCCAAACAGGACGAAACGCGAGTCATGAATTTCACTGCTAACCACCATCCATCTCTGCTTATAATGCTTGTGATTTAAGGCAATATCGAGGCAAACCGCACAGAATGCACATATACCGGTAAGATACTGATCAATTGCAGTAAATTTAGAAATTTACTAGGAAATTTTTTTCAAACCAATTCTCTTTTGTGGTCCGAATTAAACTAAATTGCATTAGGATGAGAGGGCCGAATATACTGAAAATGATTTTGATAATCAATCAGTAAGACTAAAACTTTATAAACAGCACACGTTCACTTTGGCCACACGAGCAGTATAGTAATACCAAGTACTTCATCATCTATGAATATGGTTTATGAGTAAATATAAGAGTATGAAAATGAAGTTGAGACAGATATAAACAACATAGAAACTGATATAAATATGTATCGGTCAAGATTCAGTCAGCCAGCAACAACGTAAAACTTCGTACGTATGTACGTACATCAGTTCAAGTTGCCATACCACATTAGCACAGAGATACAGTTGTCGATTCAAATCCGATAGTGGTTGAGGTAGTAAAAGTATAAACAGTTATCGGAAAGATTAGGGTTTCAAGATGTTATTCAAGGAGTATAACCCAGTGAAATAAATTTAGAAAGAGACAAAAACGAGACATGAGGAATTCAGAAGATTAGAATTTAGGAGAACACAGAGTGAATGTACCTGCGCCATTGCAAACGATTTTGAGCCATGTCATTCAAGGTCTCTAACCATCGGTTACTATCGTCTCGCGGATCTCAGCCAGATAGTTTACACCTAACAACACGACTCAGTTCACTTGTCAGTAAATTCATGGATTTGTACCATGTTTTGGTCTGGCCGCCCCTATCTTTCTTCCAACCTACTCCTACACGATAAAACGTCGCATGTCGAGGCAGTCGGTGGTTGGGCATACGTAGCATGTGTCTCAGCCATCTTAACTTATGAAGTTTCACTACTTCATCAATTGATTTGCCATCCTTACCTAGTACCCGCTCAAGATTAAGATAATTTATAAACGCAGAGAAAAAAGCAAGTGGTGATCAAAGAAAAAGCACATGATAACGAAGAACCGTTATATTGCACGTCACCATTTCGAAATGAACTATTCAAATACCTAAGACCGTTTATATAGAAAATCTTTAAGAAGACACGAGCTTCTATACGCGGCCGCGCGTATACAGCCTCTGCCAGGGAAGTCCTACTCATTGCCTTCTCGTGGCGGGGGTGTTGTTTACGAAAATGAGAGGACGAAAAGCGAATGTCCGGCGCTTTAACCGGATCACAAACCAATGGTGCACATGGGCTGGCTCCAGTATCCTGAAGGAACAAATGTAGTATGAACCAATTTTCGGTCACCGGCTACCATGGGAATGCATCTCCTTACGATGCTCCACTGCCTTGTGGGTTAGACCTATAGGTCAAAGGCTCGGGGAGTAGCCCCCTAAGATAACCACCTGCTTCGGTTTGGGCACCCGGGCAGTATCACAGCCCACACAAAAAAAGTGTGGCGCATATATATTGGCGCTCTCTTGTACCAATATTCATGTGTTCAAATAAATAAATAAATGAATTGAAGTGCGAAAAAGCATGAATATTCTTTCTAATTGGGGTAAAAAGCATGAACAACATGGAGATAAAAGTGTTGGAAATTAACGTAAAACAAAATCTATTTATAGTAGTATAAACATGGTTCTTATAATTCGTGAGCATTAGTATGAAAGGTGAGTAGTTCATAATTCTCATTTTCATCACCGGTAATTATCATTATTTGTAACAGCTGTGACACTCTTAAAGCTTTTAAAGGGGAGATAGTTAGTTCTTTTAGAGAATCATCCTCGACCATTTAACCTGAAGGTTTAATTCACAAGGTTGTGAAGCAACATTAAAAGATGCAATCCTATGGTAAACGATGATTGGAATAGCTTTGTACGGATGTGCATCATTATTTTCTAACTACGGTTTTTTAACTGCCTTACGTAAATCTTCTGTGTCCATTAGTCTAGCTTAAAAAACAGATGTCCACTTAGTCCAAGTCAATTTTGTATAAACATCCAGGGCATATTGAGGCAGGAAGAAAGACTTCCACGGAACAAAATGCAGCCGTATGAAAGCATTTCCCTACTTCCAACTCATGTCAATCAAATCCCTCAGGAATAAATCAGGACTACTCATAGGACAGTTCAGCACACTTAACTATTTAAAGAATGAGTTGTTACAACAGTGTTAAATGTATTTGCTGATCCGGATCTTAATCATATAAAAATCGACATTTTTGCCTATTGAATCACACAATGCTATATATATCTAAACTCTCTAAACAGAATTTCTCTCAGTCTATCGTCATAAGCATAACATATTGCATCACGTAACAACCTTACATATGTTTAACAAACAATTTATCCGATTGAAACTGTCCTCTTTCGATGTGCATGTTAATTTTAGGTTGTAAAAATGTGTTTTTTAGTTGGTCAAATCATTTCACTTCGAAGTGCTACAGCACTCACCAAACTTCCGACATGTATAGGGTTTCTGAATAGTTTTATTTACCGAGCATAAGTTTATATGCGCGATGCTCCCAAATGCCCTGGTACGGCCGAGAGTGAGGAGAATTAGCTCTCTCTTCAAATGCTCTCACATGGCCACGCGTATATATCCTCTTCCAGGGAAGTCCTACTCACTGCCTCTTCTTGACGGGGTGTTGTTTACCAAATTGAGAGGATAAAAAGCGAATATCCGGTACTTCAACTGGGTTGGTGGACACGGAGATCCCACCTAGAGGAGTTGAAAAACGTTTATTCCAAACCAATGGTGTACATGGGCTCCAGTACCCTGAGAGAACAAATGGCGTATGAACCAATCGTTGGTCACCGGCCACCATAGGACTGCATATCCTTACGATGCTTCACTGCCTTGTAGATCAGACCTTCAGATCAAAGGCTCCGAGTGTTCCCCCCCTAAGAAAACCACCTCCTTCGGTTTGGGCACCCGGGCAGTATCACAGCCCTCACACATATCAAATGAGGTTTGTGTGGCGCATATGTATTTGTTGCCTCCTTGTACCAATATCTATGTGTTAAAATAAATAAACAAATAAATAGATGTGCGCAGTATTAAGCTACACTTTGGTCTCATTCGAGAGAAATTAGTATTGATCGGAGAAACATAACCTACCGGATTTTTTTGAATCCTTCCTAGTGATTGTAATAACTTTCACTGATTCACTATGAGGAGAAATGGATTCAGGAGGAGCGGATGGTGCAAACGATTCATCCGAATAATTAATGTATGATTTAGGTCGCATGGCTTCGATGGATGGGGGAACATTTAGTCTCGGCGATGTAACATCAAAGGTTCTATCTGTAGATGAGTTGGATTGTGAACGACCGGGAGATACTGAGGACACTAAAGGTGGATTTTCTACCGCTTGACCATAAGCGAAGCCAATAACTCCGGGGTTTTGAATAGGAGGTGGACAAACTTCAGGGATTTGAGGATTTTGTGAATCGAAGCAGAATCCAATTTGCGGTTGTTCCCACCGTGAAGTAGTAGTAGCATTTTGACCAAATCCCCATCCATATCCTATGGGACCGTTGGGATAATTAGGATTCATTGAGTTATTCAATAAGAATTTATGCTTTAATTTGGAAAAGAATAATTATCATAAGCATATGATCGATCAAACAAGTATGACATAATATTTTGTGCTTTGCAGGAAAATATATTTATTAAATTTGAAGCGTTCGCACGTATTTTGGATCTACGGAGTTATGTATATTTCAGGCTATCAACCGATAGAGTGGAGAGCACTCAACAAACAACTAACAAGAATGTAATAAATAAATAAATAAATAAAGTCTACTTTTTGTACTGAATACAAAAGCGTCTAATGATGAATAGATTTTCACCAAACAGTTTCATCCCATCATAACATGCAACATTTTCGTGAGGACTTTATAAACAATACTATGGAGTTAGCACAATGATGTTATGCTAAATAACGGTTTGCACTTAATTATAATATAGTTGTATTACTATTTTAAAGAGAGTAAGAACAAAGATTGGTGCAGAATAATATGAATTCACTTTATTTCGTTAGATTCTCATCAGCTGCTTACAACCTAAAATATTTGAAATTCAACGTTATTATAGATATTGAGATACTTATACAACAGAGGGCGATGAAGGATGAATGTATGTAACATAATGTGGCAAAGATTTCGTTAGAGTTAATGAGGTCATGAAATTTTGTTTCGAATATATAGAGTTTGGGAGGGAAGGTTCCAGAAAATTGAAATAGTGATTAGAAATCATGGAACTAAAACACATTAGACGATTATGTAATGAAGTAACTGAAAATAGATTAATGTTAATAAAGAGAGATATGAATTGAAATTGGTCAGTTATGAATGATGTAATTATAAAATTCAGAAAGAGTTGAAATGACGTAATAAAAAAATAAGTAAAATAAAAGGGGGTGGGGTGAATGTTACCAGGGCAAAGAAAGATTTATTACTGTTTCTTTTTGTATACAAAGATCTGGTTTTAAACGTTTGATTGCTAACGCTTCAGCGAACTTCAAAAGGTTCGAGTTTGATTGTTTGTTGATCACCTTGAAGGACTTCAGTATATGTTGAGTTTATGAAGATTCCCAGTTACAGAGGTTTAAAAGCAAGAAAGTTTAGCTAGATGTTATTTTAGACATGTGATTATTTTTAGTTATTACAAATCAAAATCACTAACTCATACTTGGGATATTAAAGCTTTTCATAGAAAGTGCTTAAATTCATAGTGGTTATTTAGCTGACAGATTGAATTATAGCTATAATCCCACAACTAATACCATTTCAAACATTTGAAATTTCATCAAATTTTAAACACAGTATGCTTGGGGTTTCTCACAACCAGGAGGAGGAGCTGGTCTCGTTCCCCGACAAACTTTTTCTGTTTTCTTTCCTTTCCTTTTTTATAAACCATTAATCTTTCACTTCCATTCTTTCCCTAACAGCAACGACTATTGAAGATTACCGATCCCCTGAAATCACGACCTAAACTGTGTTTGAGCTAATATTATAGCTTTCTAAGGAGGATGATAAACTTTATTAACGAGGACTTAAATTTTTTGTAGCATGAATATATAGTGCTTCCTAAATTCTTTAAGACCTAAGTGTGGTCAGTAAGTTGATTTCAGCCAGCCAGTATAAAGTTCGGGAGTGGTAAAAACACCTCTAAACTCAATGCTAGTCGAGAATAATTCACGAGGTGACAACGAAAAACCGAAACCCAGGGATCTTCAGGATGATAGTCATAACACTGACATCGTTGTCGTTAATTTATTAATACTGTCCTCCACCAGATACCAAAAAAGTAACTAAATTTTAAATCCACAGGCAGGCCTGGTGGAATAAAAAAGGACTTAACATAGATCTTGACTGTAGTAAAAATTCGACTGTCCTATAGGACAACCCGTTTTATTTCATGTATCTCCTAAAAAAATAGTCACTATATATGGTGCTCTGGCTTGTTTCAAATAATTACCTTTAAAAGTACACCAAAAAGACCTCTCTAATGCATGAAATGTTAAGAATGACGATTTCAATGAGGATTTTACCCACGCCAAACTCACTAGTATCTACAAAGGAGAACTTTAAAGAACCAAGGAGTTTCATCAGAAATTTAAGCACATGTCTGTAAAATGAGGATCGTACTTTGTCAAGGGACCCTTATGCTCTCACATGACCACGCGCATACGTCCATAGCCAGGGAAGTCCTACTCACTGCCTTCTCTCATTGGGGTGTTGTTTACCAAATTGAGAGGATGAAAAGCGAATGTCCGGCACTTTAAGTGGGTTGGTGGATACGGAGAGTCCACATAGGGGAGTTGGAAGACCGTCATTCTAAACCATTCGTGTACATGAACTCCAGTATCCTGGAGGAACAAATGGCGTATGAACCAATTATTGGTCATCGGCTGCAATGGGACTGCATATCCTTACGATGTTCCACTGCCTGGTGGATCAGACTTTCAGGTCGAAGGCTCCGAGTGTGCCCCCCCTAAGAAAACCACCTCCTTCGGTTTGAGCACCCGGGCAGTTTCACAGTCCTCACACATATCAAATGAGGTTTGTGTGGTGCATATTTATCTGGTGCCGCCTTGTACCAATATTTATGTGTTCAAATAAATAATAATAAATAGGGGACCTTTATGGTTTGGCTGTATTCTGAGACGACATGGATATGGACTAGAAAACACTTTCAAATAAAGAAGCTATAGAAGTCATGATAGAAATCAACTCGGTGAGTTTTTAAAGGAATGAAACAGGTATTTTACATAATACAAACCTTTTCAATTCTGCAGTAGACTTAAGTGCTGCATTAAATGTTATGAAGATACATGGACTGGTTCAATATTATATGGAATTTCTTTTGTCTAGAGCGTTGAAATTTGAAAACTATGAGGAAAGCTTCAGGTGTCTTTTGTCATATGTTCTAAAATCCTTGTATTTGTCTGAATATACATGTTAGTCCGGCTGATAACGTGCTTTTGATTTCAGGTGTTTCAATGTGTGAGTGATAAGACAATGGGCTGGGTATCTAGTACAATGAGTGATAAACATGTTCGTAATGGAATCACTTAGTCATTCTACCTGTAAAGTCACCTGCCCCATTGGTGTACTGGAAAGACCTAACTTCATTTAAAGCCTCTATTGACCTACAACCTCTTAAACACCTCAGGAATTCGCCTGTAACACTTATTTCGGTTTAGTCCAGACACAAACTTTAGGGCTAGTAGTCGTAAATGAGTGTCTGAATAATGTGTTAATTTGGACTGTAGACTTGCAGTTCAATTTTTATAAGAAACCAATCCTATCGGTTAAAGTGGTTCAAAAAATTACCAGGGAGTCTTAAAGGTAAATCGATATATCCGTAAAGACTTGGGATGGTTCGATTTATTACAAGCTTAGGTCTTAACCAGGAAATGTACATGGTTTATAACTATTAGAAATGAGAACTCGTTGAACACAAGAATCTATCCAGTCCACAGTCGCTTGGACCATATGACCTTCATCCCTTAAATGACACGTTAAAGATTAAAGCCGTTAAATATTTATATCTTGTTTTTACATGGTTACCAGACATGCTAAGATCGCATTTACTCATGACTTCCGTTGGTAGTTACATGGAATTTCAGCTTTCGTCGTTATGACGTGATAGTCTGTTGTTTTAAGCTGGTCACCTTCCTACTTAGATTTAAACAAAAAGGAGATACATCTCCCGTGTGTGTTTATCAACACATAATGGTTGGCTTTGATTAGTCACAATAATGGCAAGACAATAAAAGAATAGACCAGGAAGAGGAGAATGGATTAGTGGTTATTTAAAAACGCTGCAGACTAGATCTAATATTAGATTTAAGCGGCAGTATTACTTTTGATTATTATTCATCGACATATATAAGTCAACAATCCACCAAGTATTGTTAAACATATCGAGCGAGAAAGAAAGAAGATAAATCCACGCCTTATGTTATTATCTTGCGTGTAGTAAACAGAAACATGACTACGGTTTTGAAGAAAAAAATACCCACTCACCACAAGCGTTAACCTTGAATGGCCTTGGTGACTTGCAAAATGCGCCAGGTCAGTATCATTGTTAATGACTTTATTCCATTTATATTTTTATCACAATATAAAATCTTCAGCATGAAGCGTTTCAACGAAGTCCGTTTACCAAAACAAAAGGAAAAAGACGGTGAGCATATATATATATATATATATATATATAAATTAAAATAAACATAAGTAAGCTACCTGGCCTTAAATCAGTCTTCAGTAGTATGGATAGGAGGTCTGCCAGCCTATGTTAATCCTTGCAATCTGTAACACCGTGGTGGTCCAATCTTGCTTTAAATTCATGAGCGGGACGTGCTGAAATAGAGTATTTCGGAAGAGAATTACTGTAATTCACTACTCGGAGTGATAAACGGAACTCCAGACGTCAACAAATTTATCTCGGTTTTTGAACTTTCATAGGAAGTCCTCTCGGGCGGTCATTTCTGGATGGAAGGGAAAGATAAGACATTATTACCATTGCCGCTGTTCAGTATACGATAAGCCGATATTAGATCGCCTCCTAAACCGCAGTAAGATAGGTTGAGACGTCGCAGTCTGCCAACATAAGATAAGCCAAGAGGACTCTTGATCATTTTGGTCCCTCCCCGTTGAACCCGCTCTAGTATGTCTGCCTCGTACTTGAAACAAGCACTCGCTACTTGAACCCAATACTCCAAATGCGGTCTCATAAAAGTTGGGTTTAACACCCCAAACATTTCCTTGTTCATTTACTAAAATGACTTACGAAAAGCCCATAGGACCCTGAAGCCTTTGGCAGAGGCAGCCTTGCAGTTACTCATAGTTTTGAGTTCTTTGCTTATTTAATTGCATCACCACGCCCTTGTTAGGATTAACTATTAATGACCACCTACCCGTCCGTTCGACCAGAAAATTTAGGTCATCCTGTAATAGTATTTTGTATCATATACCGTTTATGGATCTCCGAATCTTTATGTCATCTTCAAAGGGCAGAAAAGATTACTTTTTTACAGTTGGAAAGTCACTTACGTAAAGTGAAAAAAGAAGAAGACCGAAAATTGTGCCGTGATGCACCTTACTTTTACAGAATTCCACACTGATAAGGCTCCATTTACCCGTATCCATTGTCTCTTATCATTGAGAAAAATAAATTATTCAGTCTATAGTTTCCTAATGAATCTCAAAACTTTCCAGTTTTAACTTAAGACCCAGACAATGAAGTTAGATCTACGAAAACTACATCTATAGAAATATTTCTATCTTTCTTTGCAGCTCAGTCTTCTCTTAAAATGAGCAGGTCTGCCCAGTATGATAGGCCTCTTTAAAACCACGTCGTCCTCTGGATAAAAGGCCGTGCCCTTCCACGTAGTTTAAAACAGACGTCGTCCAGTAGTTTGGCGACCACACTGGATGGACTAATGGGTTGATAGTTTTTAACTAAGTTCCTGCTTTCAGTCTTAAAGACTAGAGTGACTGTTGAGT